TAGGCGAAGAAGAAATAGAAGAAGGAAGAAGACAATAACGACGACAACGAGGAGGAAGAAACAAAAGCGAAGGCAGAAGTGGGAGAAGAAAAACAAAGGAAACGGATCCATTTTTGTGGATTCGTCAATCATAAAGTATCCCTCGAAATTGCTTGGCCATTCCAGGATAATGACTGGGCAAAGATTGTAGAGTGAAACAATGCTTACACTTTTTGTTGCACTGTTTCCGTTCGGCTGGTTGATTCAGGTACAAATAAATGGGTAAAAATATTTCTTTTAAAGCTTTTCCGTTACCGGTTTATACACTAAACAAATAATTTTTACTTTTTTGGTGATTGTTTTTTCTCTTATTCCCCGCGTTCTTCCTTGCCCTAAACTATTGTTGCTGTTGTTGTTCCAAACAGATTTACGGAAGAAATTGGAGAAAAAATTAGCAGCAGCAGCAACAGAAAGGAACGAAAGAAGGGGGAAGATAAAGCGCACACTTTTTCACTCACAAATAGAGTAGAAAGGGAGGAATTTGTAGAAATGAAGAAGGAAACATAAATTACTCTTTTTTTGTGGTCTTCTCTGTAGACAAATAAATACACTTTATGAGTATTTTTTTTCTACTGCTTTTTGATTTTTTTTTCACAACAAATACTTTTTTAAAATAAGCAGTAGAAAATAACCTTTTTTTGCTGTTTTTGTTATAGTTGTTTTTAAAAGAAAACTGGAATAGCAATGTTTTGAAGTTCTTTTTTTTCTTTTTGTTTGAATATTCTATTACAGAATTAAATCAGTTGCTAATCTGACAAAGGAAAAAAGTAAAGCGAAAAAAAGTAATAAGAGAAAAAAAAGAAAAATGTAAAAAAAAGGAAGACAAAGAAGCTAAAAGATAAAAAAGCTTCTTGCTTTTTTTCATATAGAACCTTTCTGTCCAGCTTTCTAAAGTGTTCTCTCTGCTTTTTTTTGTTTTTGATAAAATTTTCAGATTAGTCTCATTGGTTTCTACGTTTTGTTTTTCAGATAATATTCCAAAAAAAAATAAAAAACCTTTTTTTTTTGCTTTGTTTTTTGTGAAAGAAAATTGTTCACGTTATTTTATTTTCTAGTTTTTTTTCTGCTTTTAAAGACTGCTTAAAAAATTCATTTATTTTTTTTTAATTTGATATTAAAAAGTCATAGTGAACGGAACAAAGAAATAGAAAAATTCGGTTTATTTTTTTAGCTATCATTGGCTGACCACAGCCTACATGACGGAGAACGATATACGTTAGTGTCGACTCGCCTTGGTAAACTGCGTGGACTTGAATCTCAGATCTTAGGACAGCGGGTACAATCATTTTTGGGCATTCCATTTGCGGAACCACCAATTGGCGACAATCGATTTAAGCCACCGATTGTCAAGAAACCATGGAACGATGTTCTGGATGCTGTGCATCTATCACCGGCCTGTTATCAAGTACTGATTTACCTGTCAATCAGCCGAGACAAAACTGAGTGGGTGCCTTTGAGGCATATTGCAGATTTGAACTTACCACTGGGAACACTCTGTCTCTAAGCGCAAAAGCAATGTAAAAATGGGAAGAACTGAGGAGACAGGGAAGAAAAAAGTACACACACCACAAAAAAAGTTGCTTTTTTTTTCTTGGCTAGTTGTTCAGCAGTGAACTAGACGCCTGACAAAAAGGAAATCGTTAATTGGGTTTATGTCAATCAAATTTGTAACTTCGCAGCAACATCTATCACAATTTCGGCTGAAGTTTTTTTCCTTCTTCTTTTATTCTGTTCTGTTTTGTTTTGTTTATGTAAAAAAATTGCAATATTTAAAGTAAACAGAGTGCACTGTTTGATAGAGACAATGACTTTAGCAATGAGAGGCTTCGGACGGCGAAGGCAGATTTGACTGAGGAGGTGAAAAAGTTGATGGGGGGAAGGGGTCAAGGAGCAGGGGGAGTGCAGGGTGTAGGTAAAGAGGTTGAAGAACAGGAAAAATGGAACAAAACTAAAACAGTTCTAATATACAGATCTAATGTCATTCAAAAAACAAAGAACAGGAGCTGGAAAGTGACAAATAACAAGCGGGTATCGACCAAACCTTTGTTTATGTCTATGGCAAAAAATTTCATTAATGCTATTTTAATTTTTTATCGATGAGGAAAAAAAAAAGGGCAAATGTGAAGTGGAAATTGAAGTAGGAATTAGATTTGTAAAATTTTTCAATATTATCACCAATTGGTGAATGCATTTGTTGTTTTTGTTGTTGTTGTCGGTTGCTATTATTATTGCTGTTGTTGTTCTTATGTTTTAATGGATACTCGATAAGCACTCACAGTATCAACATTTAAAATTGATATGGACAATGATGAGCTGCAGTAATGGAATTTAACTTCCAATTTAACTTAATTTAGCTAACTGACCAGGCGTAAAACAGCAACCAACAAAACATGTTTCAAAATATGTTTGAATATTTAGGGTCGCGATAACTACAATACGTCGTTTTGGGGTTCTGAAATGTGGAATGCAAATACAGAAGTGAAAGAAGATTGCTTATATTTAAACATGTGGAAACCTGCAAAACATAAGTAATCGTTCACTACTTATTCTAATGTTTCTGCTAGTTTTTTTTTGATTATCTTTTAAACATTTCACTTAAGTGTTGTTGCTTAAGAAAGTACCAGTAACAACAACCAAAAAAAATGGCAGATATATCAACTGTCTATAGTTAAAAAAAAATTTAAGAATTAAATAACTGCACGATACACGATAACAAACAGATGTTAACTGTTTTATTATTATTATTATTATTA